AGAGTAGCAGGTAATCTCAGTGGTGCATTACTATGTGTAACATGACTAGACACTATGATTTTTTCACCTTCTAGTACAGATGCAGAGTGTGGGATATATGATGCTTAATAACTGTTCACCAGCAAAATTTGTGATGCTAGGCCTATTGCCATAATAATTGGAGAGTAAAAGGCCTTTGAACATTGTTTTATTGGGATTAGTAGCCTTCCAATTCTTCTATATCTAACAAATGCACTATTTCTGTTAGAGTAACCCTATCATATATATAGGGGAATGGTGATGCTGCAGTGTTTCTCTGTAGAGGATATCCTCTCCAGTCAGGGATTCAGCATAGATCACATTTAGAACATCAGATATTTTGCTGGATCTCAGTGCAGAAACTGTCATGCCAGTTGGGTTTATGAAATGCTAAGTAACCAAGGTCTGATGATAAAAGACATGTAGAAGAATGCAAATTGATCCATTCTTCTGTCCTTGTATAAAGTTCAAGTCCAAGTGGATCAAGGACCTTCACACAAACCCAGATTACACTGAAACTAATAGAAGAGAAGGTGGGGAGATCCTGGAACACATGGACACAAGAGAAAATTTACTGAACAAAATACCAATGGTTTATGCTCTAAGATCAACAATAGACATACTGGACCTTATAAAATTGAAAAGCTTCTGTAAGGCAAAGGACACTATCAATAGGATAAAATAGCAACCAACACATTGGGAAGAGAACATTACCAATCCTATACCCAATAGAGGGATACTATCCAATGTATACAAAGAACTCAAAAAGTTAGACTCCAGAGACTCAAATAACTTTATTAAAAATGGGGTACAGAGCAAAACAGAGAATTCTAAACTGAAGAATCTTGAATGGCCAAGAAGCAGCTAAAGACATGATCAACCACCTTTGTCATCAGGGAAACACAAATCAAAAAAACACTGAGATTCTACCTCACACCAGTCAGAATGGCTAAGATCAAAAACTCAGGTGATGGAAGATGCTGGTGAGGATGTGGAGAATGAGGAACACTCCTCTATTGCTGGTGGAATTGCAAGTTGGTACAACTATTCTGGAAATCAGTCTGGTGGTTTCTCAGAAAATTGGACATAGTACTATCTGAGGACTCAGCTATATCACTCCTAGGCATAGCAGCCTTATTTACAATAGCCAGAAGCTGGAAAAAATCCAGATGTCCTTCAACAGATTAATGGATGCAGAAAAAGTGGTACATATTACACAATGAAGTACAACTCAGCTATTAAAAACAATGATTTCAGGAAATTTGGAGGCAAATGGATGGAACTAGAAAATATCATCCTGAGTGAGATAACCCAGTCACAAAAGAACACCCATGGTATGCACCACTGATAAGTGTATATTAGGCCCAAAGTTTGGAATACCCAAGATATAATTCACAGACCACATAAGCTCAAGAAGAAGGAAGACCATAGCCTGGATGCTTCAGTCCTTCTTAGAATGGAAAACAAAATACTCAAGGGAGAAAATATGGAGACAAAGTGTGGAACAGAGACTGAAGGAAAGGCTATCCAGAGACTGCCTCACCTGGGGATCCATGCCATATACAGACACTAAGCCCATATACTATTGCAGATGCCAAGAAGTGCTTGCTGACAGGAACCTAATATAGCTGTCTCCTGAGAGACTTTTCCAGAGCCTGACAAATACAGAGGTGGATGCTCATAGCCAACCTTTGGACTGAGCACAGGGTCCCCAATGGAGGAGTTAGAGAAAAGCCTGAAGGAGCTGAAGCAGTTTGCAATACCATAGGAAGAACAATAATATCAACCAATCAGATCCCCCAGAACTCCCAGAGACTAAACCACCAACCAAAGATTCCACATGGAATGACCCATGGCTCTAGCCACATATGTAGCAGAGTATGACCTTGTTGGGTCTCAATGAGAGGAGAGGCTCTTGGTCCTGTGAAGGCCTCAGTGTAGGGGAATGGCAGGGCAGGGAGGAGGGAGTGGGTGGGTGGGGGTACACCCTCACAGAAGCAGGGGAAGGGAAGATGGGACAGGGGGTTTCTGGTGGGGAAAATGGGAAAGGGGATAACATTTGAACTGTAAATAATTAAAATATCCAATAAAATTTAAAAAGAAAACAACATATATGCAGAAGACCCAGTACAGACCCACCCAGGCTCCTTGATTGCTGCTTCAGTCTCTGTGAATTTCAATGAGGCCATTTTTGTTGATTCTATTGGCCATGTTTGCCCATTCCCCACAACTCCTCTGGCTCCTACAATCCTTCCCCTCTTCTTCTGAGGGGTTTGCTGAGCTCCACCTAATGTTTAGCTAGGCATTTCTACATGAACAGAGGTTCATTTCCGTGAGAGATAAGGCGAGTATGGACTGAGATGACAACCTGATCAGACTCATTGAAGGACTAAATCATTGAAAAACAGAGATTATACCAAAGGGTCTGAGAGAGAAATTCTTCCTAAGTGGTCTGCCAGGACAGATATCTAAATGACATATGGGGAAACTGTAAGTCTGGGCCAGAGCTCAAGCAGCTGCCAGAAAAGCACAGACAGTGACCTCAAACCCCTGGAGCTGTTCCCTAGAGCGTCATAGACTCAGATGGCTCAGTCCAGATTGTGTGTGGCTCTGTCACCTAATCCAGATGTCTCAATGGAATCTATTTCCTCACTAGAAGTTACAGCAGTAAAGATGGTAGTGCAATGATATCTAGGCCAGGTGTGGCACTAAGTGGCCCAGACAAGAACAACCAGGTCACCTCACTGCAGCCTGACCACAGTCTTCTCTCTGGTACTGTCCAGTATTAATCTCATAACATAGCTTTCTGCTCCTGATCCACCCCTCATTAACTTGAATAATCACATGGTCTCACAGCAGGCAAATAATTTCAACAACTCTTTCAGATAAATGATGTTCTAACAAAGGAGCTAGCCCATCCTCAGCTCTGTTCCACCTCATATTTTCTCTCAGCATCTTCAGAAACTAGCTTACAGGATAGCCACCCTCTACTTCCACTTACTTTACCTTTATCCTTATATCAGCTACCCAGTAAATCCTGACTTCCCATGGCTATCTGCAGCTGCCCAGCATATTCAGTTTTCTTACAATGCCCCCAGAGAATGTACTAACTCCATCCAGCAATACTCACCTCTATCTCTGTCTCTCTCTGTCTCTCTCTGTCTCTCTCTCTCTCTCTCTCTCTCTATCTATCTATCTATCTATCTATCTATCTATCTATCTATCTCTGTGTGTACCCCTGTGTCTGTCTCTCTGTCTCTCTCTCTCTGCCTCTCAGCCTCCCTCTTGGCTTCTCTCTCTGTTCTTTGCCTCTCTCTCTGTCTCTGTCTGTGTCTGTCTGTCTGTCTGTCTGTCTGTCTGTCTGTCTGTCTGTCTGTCTGTGGTAGCCCCCAGCATGGTCAACTGCTGTCTTTCAGCAGCCTTATTCATAGCACATGATACCTAGCCAGCAGGATATATAGCTTCTTATGGCATGTTTGGGGTTCAACAGCCTCAGAACCAGGATCTCCTTAGCAACCAGAGTGGAGCGTGTGGGGCCATATGCAAGGTTCAGTCTCCTTCACTGCCTTCTTACCAAGCCCTACTGGTCAGTGACCTACAAAAGCTTTGTCTAGCTCCCCTTTCCAACAGTCCACGCTTGTCCCTCACAGAAAGCCGGTGGAAGTGGGCCTCCTAGCAAGGGCTGTACCCATGTTCCTTATGATCCTACCCACTCAACAGAATTGTACAAGTCCTGTAGTTTCATAGCTTCCTGACTCTGAGCAGCATCAAATACTTCAATTTGCTTTTCCCTGAACTCACTTTAGATAGCATAGCAATACCTTTTCTAAGCCAAATCTAATGATCATATAATTGAATTGTCTTATGGACCAACAGAATGCATGCATACATGCATACAAATCCATCCATGTCAATGCATGTAAGTCAGTGCAAACATTCTAGTATGCATTGTCAAAGCCAGAAGCATGGAGAGTTGTATAATCTTGGCAGTGACCCTAGGCCAATACACAAAGATGCTGCAGCTCTGTCATATCTCTTAGTTTCCAGCGCCCTCTTTCGTCACTAACCTGGCTGCACTTGTCAATCACTTGCCTTTTCTCATATAATTCACTGAGTCTGGGGTTCCTGTACAGGATCTTGGAGTTATTCCCTCTTAAGCATAGTTATTTGAGTACAATCTCTCGATATTTCCTCCCTTGTTCTATGACTACTTTAATTTACATGGTGTGCCAGATAAATGGTGGGTTTCCTTGAGGCAAGGAAACAGGAGCAAGAGACACTCAGATCTGACTCCACCGACCTAGGGACAGCAAATGTTCTGCTAGAAAGGGGGCTGGAAGTTTCTGGTCTTCCTGAAGGCATCACCTGTACAGAGGCAGACACATTCTTCACCAAGCTGGCCATATCTGACACCAAGATCCAGTGGTTTCTACCACATTAACAGACATATTATTTTATTTTACATACAGATGTTTGCTGAGTATATCCACTGTGAGTTTTCTTTAAACTTTTTCTGATGTATCAGATTATAGAGCTGGACTCGTTGTTTTAATGACATTACTGGTATTCTTGCTACAGAAAGGCTGTTTCTTCAAATACATTCTTACATTGAAATCCGTGTGTTAACTCTACTCACACTCTCTCAATAAATAAGGGGTATTTTAAAACATCTGGTAGGTATCCCGTCTAGTCATGTTTTGCTGGATCAATATAATACATGTAGCTACAATAAATCTGTCTGAACATTTTGGTTTCAATTATGTGCCACTTTGAGGCCTTTGAAAAGCTGTCACACTGGAGAGACTTCCTGGAATTCTAAAATTCCTTCTTCTTCTTATAAACTTCGATGACACAACAACTCTATCATAATGGAATTGCCACTTATTTTCACCCCACACCCTTCTCCACTAGTTGGCATCATCTGTGTTGTATAGAAGACAGGTATAGTTGAATGCACAGAATGTTAAGGGAAGAGAATAGTGTAAGATGCTTTTATGTCTCTTTTTATTTTATGAAAGAGAACCATTATACTCAGGCATACCTTGAAAAGTCTAAAATTGTAAGAAATTTCGAAACAGTGGTTCATCAAAAATCTTCAAAAAATTTTACAGAGTTGCAGATGTCACCACTATAAAGCACACACATCAAGTGCTTGAGATTAAGGTCAACTGAAAGTATATCAACACGCAGACAGTAAAACAATTTATAAAGAGCAAAAAATTGATGTTCTTTGTCAGTTGCCTTCAAGGATGCCAAATCTGTCCATAAAGGGTAGTCATTAATTTCCTCCATCCCAGGGTGAACCTAAGGACCAAAAGGATAGTCAGACACTTAATATTACCACAGATTATATGTATTTGTCATCGTGCCTCCTAAATATTAAGTTATATTTAGGAAAATATTAGTAGTGTAAAATGTTGGTCAGAAACATGGATTTCCATAAATCTAGCACAGACTACTACTACAAATCTGTCATCTAAAAGCTAGATTGGAGATGCATGGATACATTTCCTTACAATAAGTTGATATCAGTTAAAGTATGATATTTCATGACTAAATAGAAGACCAGGAAATTGTCATCTGGGTGTAGATCTGTGCAGCCAAGGGACAATGAAAGCACTGTTGACAGTTCTCTCAAATAGGAGGTAGAAAGGCCAGGGGTGATTGTGATTAGAGAGAATGAAATAATCAGGAGTGTGACACTTTGCTCAGGAAAGTTACTCTCCAAATGACTGTAAAGAACAGCTTCATTTTATGTCCATCATTGTGGTGAGTCTGCATGTAAGATGAAATGCCTACATTGTGTCCATGAGAAGTGCTATGTTTCAAAATTCCTCATTTAGTACAGAAGTCACATCATTTATGAAGGAGAGAACTGGAAGGCAACAAGATGGCTCACCTTGCTGAGTATCATCATGATAGTCTCTAGAAACTCTTTGTTTAGAGTTCTGATGGCTTTGGCTCTTAGTAAAATTGCATCAGGGGCACCTTTCATACCATGGAGTTCGGTCTCTAGGTGGTACAGAGGTTTATTCCAGGCATTAAATATTCTGAGTATAGTTTTCAGGAAGTCTTCAAGCTATTTATCATAAAGGAACAACCATATTCCATATTAAGATAAATTAAAAATACAAGAATTAGTTACATGTTTTTAATTAGAAATGATGAACTAACTACTAATGTGGACAAGTGATGTACAACTGTAAATTTCAACCATTCACTTATATTTTGCCAGAATGAAACAACTTATACAAAGAGCTTCTTTTTGTAGTGATCCAAAATATTGATCATATTCTGCTGTCCACATAAAATTCTACCACATGCTCTGCATATAAAATTTACATACTTGACTGTTTTCCTTGTTCACAGGCATCTGAGGCTTTGCTTAGGACTCAGTAGGTTCCTACAGAACATGATTTAGGAAAGACAAATACCTCCAGTCCAAAATATAAATCATTTAACTCAGATTCACCATTCTAATAAACTAGATAGATCACAACCATACTAGATCATGATACCTAAGTTATTTTAGAATAATAATAGAAGGATATATTGAAGGCAACCTGGTAGGGATAGATGTGATTTCCTGAGTCAACTTGGCCCGTTGCCTCTAGCAGAACGATCTATTTGTAAGTTGTACAGAAAAACAATGATACAAATGACTTTAATGACATCAAATAATGATGGCATACAGGTTGATGGGAGCTTAGTGACATGTGACTAATAATGGGGATTTGAACTGGATAAATAACAGATGCCCATTCTTACTAGTCATGGATTATATTAATGTTTTAAATCCTCACTTTTATTACTTCAGATAGCTTTTAGGAGGGATTTTTTTTCTGGTAATATTAAAAAAAATACTCTGTGAACTGTCTAGTCCTGGCATAGGTCTCTAAAAACATCTACAAATATTTTCTGTTTCTATAACTCCTTTTCCTTCACCTGTTCTTATTATTTTCAAAATTATGTCAAATTAATTGGTTAGGGGATAAGTTATGGCATCAAATCAGAAGGAAGGGATCATAAAAATTATAAATGCAGTTGCCAGGATATATAGACCTCATCACAAGATAGGGTACAGAAACTTTACATAGAAATATAGGACTAATTTGTACAAAAAAATTTACTAAGCCTTAGTAGAAAGTACAAAAGTCATGAAGTAAAGAAAACAGAAAAATCAGAACCAGTAGAGTTGTGAGAATTAAAAAGTCTGTGATGTGCAGATTTCTGAAAGAACAAATAAACTAAAAAGCTTCTTAAAAAAAAAGAAGTCTGTGTGAAGGTCAATAATGAGAATATCACCAATGGGGAGACATAAGTGATACATGATGAAAACAATTTTGGTTGCGTCTCTTAAGAATAGACATAAATGGTTTTTATCCGGGGATATCCAACTAAGTTAATGAGCAATAGTTATTTATTACATAGTAATAAATAAGATCCAAATAGTAAGACATTTTCAGTTGCCTCTGGAATTTTATGGTTCTCCAATAATATTATTTATCATTTGATTTAACTTATAATTCATCACCTATCTCACAGATTTTTTTTCTTTAATTGCTCACTGTTACCCGTTTCCCCTGCATATTGAATTTAATGTTTATAGAAATCTAAAAAAATGGCAAAGGCTAGATGTCCCTTCAGTTATTTAGGTGAAAATTTTAGCCTGAGGACTCACTGAGATCTTTCTGGCTTCCTCCACAGTTTCTGGAATGTTGAGGGAAAATGTGTGGCAGCTGTTGAGAGTCTCCATCATGTGCTTCGGGTCCTTAAGAAAATCCAATACCTAAAAATGGTAAAATAGAAACAGAGTTATTTCAGCTTTGGGAATTGAGGAAATGAATCCATGATGAGCATATGGATTAATTCAATAGCTCTGTAATTTTTCTTTTTACATGTGAACACTAAATAAAATGTGAGATGGAGAAGCTTGAGTAGTTACCCCTTCACCTATATTTTTCTGATTAAACTTGTTGTCTCAACTTGGTTTTCATCAAATTATTTTTAACTTCTCAGCATTTTTCTCTCTTTACCAGGCTCTCTTGTTCTCATACCTCAGTAATTTTTGTTTGGAGGGAAAAAGCTGAAAATATTAAAATTATATATATAAAATGTTTCAAAGATAACCTGCTTATAATATGATCCCAATGCCATAGTTTCTATTTATCTATATTTATCAATCTTTACTTTCTGTTTGTATAAACTTAAATGCTTCTAGGTATTATACAATTAAATATTTGCCTTTTACTAATACTGAACACTTACAACTTGTACCATAGTAAGTTAAACATAACATTTGAATATAATTTTATTAATAGTAAGTATAAATTTATTAATCTGTATTAATAATTAGATAAGAAATACTTATCCATAAGAACAACAAAATTAATTAAAAACATAAAATAGGAATTAATGTTTACATACTCATCAATATATAAACATAAATATTATATTGATTTAAACAGTATTTAAATTACCTTTGTTTAAATTAGTAAAAGCTAATTTGAGAAACTTTAATGGGTTACTAAGAATGTTAAGAATTAAAGGCTATCAGTCAAGAGGGAGGAATGAAAAAGTCTGAGGAGCTGGGTGGTTGTGGTACACAACTATAATCATAGCATTTTGGAGGCAGAGGAATGCAGATGTCTATGAGCTTGAGGCCAGCCTGGCTTACAGTGTAAGTTGCAGGAGAACCATAATTACACAGAAAAATTCTATCTAGAAAAAAAATCTCAGGATTAAAAAGACAATATAAACACATATTTATTTTAAAAACAGACATTCTTGAAGTGCTGTTGTTGTACATTTTGTTTTATCTTGCCGTTTACTGACCTTGAGTACATAATATTTTACCACCAGTTAGAGAAAATCTAGTTTCATTTGTAAACCAACCCTCTAACAAAAGAAACTAAGGCTTCTGAGACCTACTAGCAGTGACTCCTAGCAGTTGAGAGTTCAAAAAAGGCCATTAACATAGTGTCCTCTCCCTGGCTGACATAGGGTCCTGTTCACATTTGTAGTCCCTGTGCACGTGCATTACAATGCAGTTTAATTTTATAGGAAAGCAGTAGTACACCACATGAAGAGGGACACTGGAGCTTGAGTACTTATGAGGACCTCTGGGAGATAAGAGTTCCACCCCACTATAATCCTTAGACACAATTCGTGAGGCTTTATAATTTAATCACACTAAAATCATTGTTTTCCTTTCTTTTTTCTGTTCTTCCCTTCCCTTCCCTTCCCTTCCCTTCCCTTCCCTTCCCTTCCCT